CACTTTGGAAGGCCGACATGGGTGGATTACCTGAGGTCAGGAATTCAGACCTGCTTGGCCAACATGATGACACCTCGTGTCTAGTAAAAATACAAAAATTAGCTGGGCGTGGTGGCTCACGGCTGTAATCCCAGCTTCTCGGGAGGCCGAGGCAGAAGAATTGCTTGAACCTGGGAGGCAGAGGTTGAAGTGAGCCGAGATTGCGCCATTGCACTCCAGCATGGGTGACAGAGCAAGACTCCATCTCAAAAAAATAAAAATAAATAAAACATATACATGTTCAATGTGAAACATAAAACTTCTAGAAGGAGTATAGGATAATATGTTTATAACTTTTGTTTATTAAAGATTTCTTTGACGCAAAATTCAAAAACCATAAAAGTATTATTAATTTGACTACATTAAAATTAAAGGCACAATTAACAAGTAAAAATAGTGGCCTAGGAGAATATATTTGTAACACAGAAAGCCAACAAAGCAGTAGTCTCTAGAATTATAAAGATTTCCTTCATATCAAATAGCCCTATAGAAAAATAGAGAAAAAGAATGAATGGGAAATTCACAAAAGAGGAAACAAATGGGCCAATAAACTTTGATTAAATGTTCAACCTTAGAATCAATCAGGGAAATATAAATTAAAACTACAAAGAAGTACAATTCATATCGACGAGACTGGTTAAAAATTTTAAAGTTTGACAATATCAAGTCTTGATAAGGATGTTAAGAAATTCTTATATACCGCTTGGCATGATCACTCTGGAGAGCAAATCTAAAAATATGTTTATCTTATGACCCAGAAATTCCACTGTAATGTATCTAGTATATCTGATGTAACCCTAGTTAAAATATTATACATGCACAAAGAGATACGTATTATAATATTTAAAACATTATTTGTAATTAAAATAAAACAAGGAGTTTTAAGTTCTCAGAAACAAGCCAGATGACCATCAACCAAAGAAAGTAAGTTTAAATAAAAAGAATATATTATAAAATGGACTACTATTCAGCTGATTAAATGAATAAGCTAGAGCAACATGTATGGTTACATAGATAATCTCTAAGTCACTTTTCTTTCTTTTTTGAGACAGAGTCTTGCTCTTTCGCCAGGCTGAAGTGCAGTGGAACGATCTTGGCTCACTGCAACCTCTGTCTCCTGCATTCAAGCGATTCCCCTGCCTCAGCCTCCTGAGTAGCTGGGACTACAGGCACACACCACCACACCCAGCTAATTTTTTGTATTTTAGTAGAGACAGGGTTTCATCATGGCCAGGATGGTCTCAATCTCCTGACCTCATGATCCGTCTGCCTCGGCCTCCCAAAATGCTGGGATTACAGGTGTTAGCCAACGTGCCCGGCCTCTAAGTCACTTTTAAATAAAAATGTTGCAGATGAATATATATATCTTTATATTAAAATATCGTTAACAAAAAATTTAATAAATGTAAAACAATATGTGTTGTTTATGGATATATAAAATATGGGTATGATACACTAATTCAGGATGGTGATTGCCACTGGGAAGGAAGAAAAGGAGTAAGATTGGTGAAAGATAACACATTGGTGTGTGTTATCTTTCTAATTATATACCAAATTTTCTTAAGCTCAGTGGTAAGACATGGGTATTTACTCTATTATTCTCTATATTTCTGTATGCCTGAAATTTTAACATTAATTTAACAAAATCAACATATTACTAAAGTACTATTTCTTCAGCCTTAATTCAAGACTCTCCATAGTATTATTCTAATCTATTTTTCTAGCCTCTTCCTTCAGTATTTCCTATAGCAGTTTCCCAAAACTTAGAGACTTATCCACCTCTTCCACCATTTTCGTTATATAGCCTTCTCTATCATGACTAATGAAGATTTTTCATCATTTTTAACTTAAATAGCCTTGTACAAATCAATAAATCACAAATTTAATATGCCAGTTAATATAAGTATTAAAATGTTTGTCCTAGTGCCACCTAAAAACATCAAGTGTCACATTTTGGGTTGCCCTGTCTTATGCCAGTGGTTCTCAAATTTGGAACACAAGATTGTGTGGGAGGCTTGTTAGGAAGGGAGACTCTGAGGCCACACCTCTAGGGATTCTGATTCAGGTAGTCAGAAGCAGAAATCCTGCCTAATATGAAGCCTTGGCGCCTACCAAGTTGGACTACTTGCCATTCTCTAGACAAACTCTCCACTTTCCTTCTATACTTTTCCTTTCGATATTTCCTCAGCTTGAAGTAACCCTCTCTTCCCCTAAGCCAGTGGAAATTAAGACTTTACTTTAAAGCCCTTCTTAAAAATGACCATCACAATAAAGTACTTTGACTTAGATGTGACATCTCTCTCATTTCAACCCTCTTCTTTCCCCTATCAATTTATTTCTATTTCCATATGGATGCTTATCATATTCAATGTAATATATGTCTACATGTCTTATTCCCCCTCCTGAAGCATAAATGTTACTTGAGATTGGAAGCTTGATACTTTGTTCAAAAGCAGAGATTGTATCTTGGTCATTTTATGCTCTGTATATGATAATTATGCAGATACTTGCTAGACTGAACTCTGCTAAACACTGAATTGGTTTAACAATTTTTATTAATATTTTAAAATCATACTGCATGAGTTATTCATTCACAGGGTATTATGGATTAAACATGAGACTCTAGACTACCAGCTTCATTTTCAAAATGAGAAAACTGAAAAGATATATAGAAACAAATAATTTTGTTATTTTAATTTTTGAAGGTTAAAAAAAATGGTTGAACTAAAACTGCCAAATTCAGTTTTTAAGAAAAAAAGGCAAGTGCTTAACTTAAAACCTTCCAGGCAAAAGAAACTGAAGGTGTTATTAACTGACATGGTGAGTTTTTGATACTGCTACAAAAACCTATTGACTTCAGAAGAACACTATTAGTAAAGCAAAGTTCATTTATTCTTACAAAATTCTCAGTACTTTCAAAAGACATTTCAATATAATTTCTCTCTGCCTTAATGCATATTATTCTGATGCTCAAGAGTAATAATTTCTAGGTATTTTTCCAATGTAAAAGCCATAATAACTGTCTTTAATTAGAAAATATCAACACATAACTCATTTGTGAATTTTGGGTTTTTTTTAATTTGGTAATAATAATTTGGTTTGCTTCTATTCCAGGAATAAAGTGATTTACTGTTTTAAACATATTCATTTTCATCCAGATAGAAAATAAATGAATAGAAACAGAGAAGTGGGACTTTTTAATGCAAAATGTTCATCAACATCAATAAATATCACAGTATTATCTGTATTTGTATACTTTAGCATATACATGATAATTTATAAAGACAAAATATACAAATGCAGTAATAGGAGGAAAAATGAAAAATACATATTTTATTATGCTCACCTGGCCTTCTATGTTGAAAAAGGAGAATGAAAAGAGAAGCACTGTGAGAAGTGAAGAATATGGAATTGTTTCCACATATCTCATTTGCTCCTTTCCTCATTCATTTTTCTGTCATATTCCTGTTAAATTTCCTCTTTCATATGGCAGTTTAAGTAAACTAAACCTAGCTTATATGAAACATTTATTTAACTTTATCATTCCATTTTTACATTGTAAAAATAAAATTTTAACTTACTATGTCCATTTTCCTAAACAAAAGTAACTGGAAATAAAGCAGTAATAAGTTGCTATTATATATGAGCTCCTGTTAAGAATTCTGAGGTCAGTAGTTTGAGGCCAGCTTGACCAACACAGAGAAACCATGTCTCTTTTAAAAACAAAAATTGCCGGGCACGGTGGCTCAAGCCTGTAATCCCAGCACTTTGGGAGGCCGAGGCGGGTGGATCACGAGGTCAAGAGATCGAGACCATCCTGGTCAACATGGTGAAACCCCGTCTCTA